AAAAACTGGATATTTACAGATGATCCTCTCTCCCCATCCAATCCAGCTCGACCCTCCTCGCCCTAGGACACGACAGACACAAGATGAGCAGAAATACACAATTCTTAATTTCATATATTTTAGGAGAGAAGTTAACAAATCAGTAACGCAGCCACTGTGTCTTACTCTGGGCCCTGGATCTCCTCTTTCACCTCTCGCACCGGGGACGCCGACACCAGTTTCCCCCTGGCAACAGAAAATATATGAATTCAAAAAGAATCTATACACATTTAACCCTGGAGAACCCATGGGGTCAGATCCGACCCCATTGGTTTACTGGGGAAACCATGGGGTCAAATTTGACCCCATGGGTTCTCCAGGGTTAAGCTGCTGGAAAATAAAATACTGCATGTGAGAGAATCACCTTGTCTCCTTTGACCCCGTTAGTACCAGGAGATCCCTAGAAAACATATTATTGATCATATAAATCCATATTCAATTTCTTCTTGTCTGTTATGGCATCTTCCTCCATCTAAATCAGATCTATTCTTGATTTTAAGAGCTTAATTTAACCCAACAAAAAGGTGATCCAGCTAAAAACAGGTAAAACTCAATTAACAGTCAAGCCTAAACTGGAAGCTCTCAGGAGAATGTACTTTGTAAATAAAAAAACAGGAACTTACTGCCAATCCAGGAGGTCCAGGAGGACCAGGGGGACCAACATTTCCTGCACGGCCAGCAAAGCCTTGGAGACCCTGAGAGTGAAAACACAGACAAAGATGTAAAGGTTAAATTAATAATAACAATAATAATAATAATAATAATAATAATAATAACAATAATAATTCTCCTAGTGGATGAACCAACCCTCTCTCCCGGGGGTCCAGGAGGTCCAGGTTGTCCATTTTCTCCTCTCACACCAGGTGGCCCACTGTCTCCTGTTTTCCCTGCAGGACCTGGAGGACCAGCTGGACCAGGCATCCCTGGATCCCCCTAAAACACAGTGACATTTTCACCCTCAAGTGAGGTGCGCCTGATACAGCCCGCTATCTGATTTGAAAGATAAAAATATAGATCATCTTTTGCTGCAATGTGTGCTATTACTCACTTTTAAACCTGGAGGCCCATTCCGACCAGGAGGACCTGCAAGTCCTATCCCTTTCTCTCCCTGCAACACACATTTTATCATAGCAGTCACTGTCAGAGTGGTTAGACTGCAGGAAAATCGATAAACCAAATGACGAAAGCTCACCTTATCGCCTTTTGGCCCGGGAGATCCCTGTGCCCCCTTAATTAAGTTGTGAAAAAAGAAGAATTATTTATTGTGTTATTTACTTTTTCATATTTGTATCAACAGGAAATTAACCAAAGTAAAACAGAAAAATATTAATGAATGAATTGCTATTTCATAAATTTATTGTGCAGATTTAGAAATATTTCATACATGTTCCAGTTTCAGGTTGTTAACGGTTCGTTAATGTGTTTTTTTGAAAACCTCAAAACCAACAAATCATTAAAATCTTGCACATCACAGTCGTCTGGGCAAAGACAGTAAAAACAGGAATAGCAATTTCAATGTCCTTGTGACTAGAAAAAAGCAGTGTTTGCCCCTGATTGCTTTGACATTTTTGTTGCATTCAGATGAAAGATTCAGGTCATAGATTGAAAGAAGTTGCAGCAACCAGCTTGTTGCTAATTGGTTCAGAACCGTTGGCTGACCCTATTCAGTTGCAAGGTGCTGCACAGGTTGTGTGGTGGGAAGCAAACTTTCTCCAAATAAATAACATCCAAATGAGACTGACTTCAATCACTCTCAGACACGCTGGAAAAGGAATGCAAATAACTGCTGTCCAAGATATCCAGATATCTAAAATCACTCCAAGTCAGTTTACAAATATTTGTAACACGCCTCTTTGCAATATAAGATACAACTCATCTAGTTTCCAACTGGTTGCATTCTGGTTATATTTCTATATAAAAGCAAGGTATAAAAGCCTTATGTCATTTTACAGTTAAATTGCCATAGTGGAACAATTACGTCACTCTTTTCTGTTTCAGCTCTATGAGGTTCTGTTTAGTAATTACTGTCATTTTCTGTGTAATGTGAATTCCTGTGTATGTAGGCAGCAACAGATAGCAACAGATTTGAGATTTCCACCAATTTATCTCAGTTAATCACTGTATTTTCACAAACAGATGGTGCGTAATTGCTAACTTGACCCCATTCAATCACAAACTGGTAGAAGACCGACTCCATCTTGTTGCTCTTTCGTTGCTGTCTGGATACACCAAAGTCACTTTAAAGACAGCAGCTGACTCTGCGTGGTCACAGACCTGGGCTCCAACTCGGAAGGAACAATTTCAAAGCCAACAACAATGCAAACGCATTTACACAAAGTGCAACAATTGTCTCCAACCTGGGTTTTCTCTAGTATGACTGTAACATTAGAAACACTGTCTATAGACCAGTGTTTCCCCAATGTGTGGGCTCTAGTGAGCCATAAAGGTGTAGCATAAGAGGTCATTTAGTTTTCTTTTACAATGTTGTAATTTCTTAATAAGTGCTGGCCGTGTATGCTGTTGTTGGGTTTGTTGCCTTTTTTTGTGTCTGTTTTTGGTTTTGATTTTTATTTTGCTGTCTTTATTGTCTGTGCTCTTCTGTCCCGCTGTTTGTGACTGTGTAAACAATTTTGAAACTTGCATAAATAAAAAAACAAAACAAAACAATGTTGTAATTTAGTTTGCACTACCCTAAAGATCTATAACCAAATTATTGCAAAGTTGATCATATCTCATAAATAAAATTAAATGAAAACTCCAATTTCAAATGACATGTTATGCTTAATTTTGTCACCTATTTTTATTTCATAAAATATCTTGTATCATGTCACTGGTTAAAGGGGATGTGATGGCAAGAAAAAACCTGTTGATGGAGATGGGGTATACAGATTTCAAACTGGGCCGTGGCATTCTTATATGCTTTAGAAAAATAACTGATTCAGGCATGATTATATAACTTGACTTCGGAGTAAATCAGCTATCAAGTTGTTAAAACTGATTTCACATATGCATGAGGTGGGCGACACTGAATACTTTTTTTCCTCTTATTACATACACATATGCATATAATATACATTTTATTATTTTTGCACTAATATTTATCAAGGCATAGAAGACATTTTAAACAAATCAAACTGTTCAAAATTTGATGAATTTTCCCAAAAAATAAAAACTGTGACTTTAATACCATCGACTACAATGGATCACTGGATTTGTTTATGTGAAACTACACAAAATTACACACTACTATTGACATCAGCATTGCAAATCTTCCATAAAACAATAAACACTATGACTAAGAGTTCATTAAAAAATCTAATATGACTTTTTGAAATCCAGTTGGGCAGTGAAAGTTGATTACTCACATCTTCTCCAGGTTCTCCTGATTCACCAGCTTGTCCCTTGTAAGACAGACAGCACATTGTGTACATTCATACTTGTATAGGTAAGTACGTCATTATTTGGTCCCATTATCGTACTCACTCTTTCTCCTTTGATGCCAGCAACACCTTTGTCTCCCTTGTTACCCTAAATGACAGCAGTTGTGCATTCAGATATACAATTTTAATGAAAAAGCACTTAACATCTCCAGTCTGTCCCTCTCACTCACTGAGGGGGAGCTTGCAGTTTGGTCAGACTCACCTTTTCACCAATTGGACCTCTCTCTCCAGCTGTGCCTGGCAGCGTTAAACCAGGAGGACCCTGCACCAATCAGAACCAGGAAAGTGCTGTAAGCTGCATTCGTAAATGCTGCTCTATTGCGTCACTTCATGCTGCAGCTACTTCTACATTAATGGCAATAGGAGTGACTCACCCTCTCTCCTTTGGGTCCAGGAGGTCCAGCCACAGCCTGTGTACAGAGTACAGAAGAAGGAGGAAAATAACAGTAATTACCTGCACAGCATGATGTGGGTTGTTGTTCATTAAAAGATGCCAACGTGTACCTAAAAGCTTTGGTATTAAGTATCATATTAGCTTAATCATCTTTGCTTCTAGCTCTCAAATATTAAGAGCCAGAATGTCTTCAGGACGGACAGCCAACAAATGCACACTCACTGTTTAAGAATAGCACAGCAGACTGTGAAAACATTTGAAAATCTATTCAGCTTCACTGCCAAAAGCCTGCAGATGCAAGTCCAGTGTGTCTTATCACTTGTACACAACAATATTTTAAAGGCAATTTAAGAAAGACTGGATTGTAAGGACTGATTCAAAAAATGCTTAAATCCAGAAGTTACTTCGTAATAAAATTCTGTTTTTATTTGTGGTGTTCAAACATGTTTCACCACCCTGATAAGGAAGAATAAAGGAAGCAAAGTGGAATAAACGGAGCACATTATGGAGTGTGACAGACAAACTACAAAAGTACTGTGCTTCAGAACACAGGCATCGCTTCCTGTTAAAAAGGGAGTTCTTCCTCCCTGCTGTCACTTGCTTGCTCACCGGAGATCACCAGGTCATTGAGCTTTTCTCTCTCATATCACATTGTTTTTACCTTAAAATATAAAGCAGCTAAAGATCATTCTTGTTGTGAGCTGGACACAAAAAAGACACAAAAACAATGTGAAGTAAAACATAAAATGTCTATGTAAAATATATAGAAGTACTCTCTAGGTGTGTGATACTTTATAGCAGAACTGAATGAACTGTACTTGATGAAATGTACAGTAGATCATTCTTTTCTTGCCGCAGTAAATTGAGGGCTGTTGATGATCTTCTTTGAGATTTCTGGTGTTACAGAAAGTCTGGAAATTTCTGTAAGTCAAGCGAGTGAGCGCAACCCTTAAGTGAAGAGTGTGTGTGTGTGTGTGTGTGTGTGTGTGTGTGTGTGTGTGTGTGAGACAACAAATGTTGGAGAGAAATCCTGAGCAGATGAACAAGTTGTATATAGCAGGTTATCAGAGTCACTCAGGAAACTGAATGAATATAACCATTCAGGAAGAAAAATGAAAACAAATCCATTTCATAAATCGTTTTATTTTTCATGTCTTTCACTAAATGCATCTTCTTCAGTGTTGTCGGGCATCGGAAATGAACCAGTTCATGGCAACACGGACAATACCGGTGCTTTTTGAATGTTTTCTATACGCTGAAGCTACAACGTTGAATTAATAATGTTTTCAAAAGCATGCCATAATGTGTCTGTGAAGGTTCTCAGTCAACCAGGTCATCGTAGTCTAAGGAGCTTGGAAAGAAAAGTGTCTGGACTTCTTTAAGTTTCCTTGAAGACATTTCACTTCTGAATTCAGGCAACTTAAAGAAGTCCAGACGCTTAACTTTTTTCTCTCCTAGCTCCTTAGACCATGCCATGCTCTTTGTTGACTTTAGCTCTGCTTTCAATACGATACTCCCGGACAGACTAATAGTTAAACTGCTGGAAATCGGACTTCCTTCTACCACCTGCCGCTGGATCAGAGACTTCCTGTCAGACCGTGTACAGAGAGTTAGAGTGGGGCCTCATCTTTCCTCACCCCTCAGCCTTAACACCGGCTCTCCACAAGGCTGTGTACTGAGTCCTCTACTGTACACTCTGTACACACATAACTGTGTTAGTACCCACCAGGACAATGCAGTCATCAAGTTTGCAGATGATACCACCGTGGTGGGGCTCATCTCTGGGGGAGATGAGACGGCATACAGAGCTGAGGTTCAGAGGCTGACAGATTGGTGTGTAGACAACAACCTGGACCTCAATACCACCAAGACAAAAGAACTGGTAGTTGACTTCAGAAGGAGGAAGTCTGAGCTGCAGCCTGTCAGCATCAATGGCGAGTGTGTGGAAAGGGTCTCCAGTTTCAAGTTCCTGGGTGTGCACATAGACACAGACCTCCAATGGAGCTCTAACACCTCTACGGGTTTAAAGAAGGCCCAACAGCGTGCCCACTTTCTGAGAATCCTCAGAAAAATGGACCTGAAGAAGGAGCTGCTGACTGTCTTCTACCGCTGCTCCATTGAAAGTGTGCTGACATATTGCATCGGTGTGTGATTCTCCAGCCGCACCACAGCACACAGAAAGGCACTCCAGAGGGTCATCAATATGGCCCAAAAAAGTCATTGGACATCCTCTTTCCTCCCTGAAGGACCTGTACAGCACTCGCTGTCTCAAGAGGGCACGCAGCATCCTACGGGACTGTACACACCCAGGACACCGGGTGTTTAAGCTGCTGCCGTCTGGCAGGAGATTCAGGCTGCTGAGGTCCCGAACAAACAGACTCAAGGACAGCTTTTACAACAGGGCAATAGCCCTAATCAATGCAAATTTATTACTAAGTTATTACTAAGTTATTATACTGTGTTGTGTTGTTTGTGTTGCGTTGTGATGTGTCGTATCGGGTCGTGTTGTGTTATATGTAGTGCCGACGTATTTCATTGTACTATTGTACTATGTATGACTGTGCAATGACAATAAAGAGTTATCTTATCTTATCTTATAATATTTTATGTTAAAGAAGCTCCAAGTTATTGGGCTTGAAAAGCATGTGGCATCGCAATAGTTTGTCTGAATGTTTGCATCTCGAGATTAAATGAACAGAACCAAATTATGTTTTAAAATATAGGATAACTCAGAATTTTGAAACACTGCGTTTCAATAATTGGAAAAACAAGCAGCTGGTATTGTTCTTAAAAACAAATTAGTTAATTCCAGCACTGTAACACACACTGCATTCTAGACTGTACACTATGTTAATGTAAACCCCTTATAAAGGGTGGCAAAATTCAACACCATAACAGCCTGCCATTAACACAAGTCAGATCTGCTGAGACTGAATTGGAGGAAATTCATTACAAAAAGTAACAGTTTAATTAGAGCTTATGCCACAATTAAAACTATTAATGTACACTGTTTTTTCATTATTAGACATTTTTAAAAGAATCCATCAAACCATCAGTAATAAAAACTCAAGTCACATTAAAGTGTGGAAAATGTGATAATGTGAGAAGCAGTTAACAGGGAACATTATGTAAGTGTCCTTCTCTGTCATTTTTAGTTTTCATCTGCAAGAATTTGGCTTAATTTCCATCCTCACTGACAGAATCAACACAAGGAAGCCAAACAATCCCCTTTAACAGATGTCTCCCATCATTCGTTAACAGTATACCAATGTTGATCATTTTTGATTAGGTTTATCATTATATTAGTGGTTAAAATAGAATAAACTACAAGGCACAGCAACTGCCCGACAAGTCAATAATAAACTCCAGGTATACAAAGATGTCTTACTTCACACAGGGTTTGATTTCCCAATCAAAAAACAATAAAACTGTGGAACAAAAATCTATAGATCAATAAAAAAAACAAAAAAACAAATTAACTTTAAAGTGACAGACAGTGCACATAAAAAAGGAATGGCATTTGACCAAACGCATGTGAACTCATCTGTCAGCCACGGTGGTTGTGTTAAAGCCTGGCCTTCAGCATTGAGAGCTGCCAATAGATGTGGCACACTGGAATTCATCAAGGATTTTAATGCTGATGAAAGCAAAAGGATGAATGCAGAGGTATAGGTCTGTGTCATCCATTCAGCTGGAAAACGACTGCAAACATACAATAGGGTCTGGAGACTATCTGTCAATGATTTAATTTATAATGATGAGAACATTTTTGTGCAGGGATGTTTAGTCATATAACAGATTAACACAGCTGACACTTTGCACAGGAAGCTTGAATTCTTCTATTACCATAAAGTCCCACCATATCCAGTTTATTATAGGAAAGCATAAACTGGAGACACGGCCTACTGTAAAATAAAACACATGGTCTTAGAGAGAAATTAAGATTAAATACTCAAAAAATACTTTTTTAACACCCCAGAGATACTGCTTTGTGTTTCACCTATTCGGGAATTAGCGACCACTCCAAACAGCTCAAAATGTCCAAGGTTAGAAGAGCACAGTTGGCCTGACTGTTTAAATATGCAGAGGCAGAAATGTGTTCAGACAGAAATGAGAGCAGGTCCACATTTATCTGGCATTACTCCAAAACACAATTTATGACTGTGTGTTGACCTCATGAATTACAGTTTCCAGTTCCAACGACCCCAAAATTCTCCAATTGCTCTGACAATATACTGGCTCTCAATCAAACCTTTTCCATATTAAATTCTTAGATTATCCTCATGTGTCACATTGCCAGTCAGCATAATTAAACCATCTCAGCATCATGGCTATCATCTACAAATAAAACAGTAGTACTCCAGTTTCTCTTTAACCTCTTAAGCCCCAACGCCCCCTGATATGGGGGCAAAAAGCAGGAGATCAGGTAGGCATGGGGCTTAAGAGGTTAAGAAGAGTGGACTTACAGGGGAACACATCTGGAACCCACTGGGGCTAAGGTTCATGCTTTAAGATGCAGCTGTGGCTAAGTTGGTACAGCGGGTCATCGAATTATTGGAAAGTTGGTGGATCAGCTTTCCAATGGGTCGACTCCCTGACTTCTCCGGTCCACATGACAAAGTATTGTTGGGGAAGATATTGAACCCTGAGTTCTCTCCATTGGAGTGTGAGATTGTGTCTGAATGTTAGAAAAGTACTTAGGCATAGAAAAAAAAAGGTGCTCTGTGAATGAGACTGTGTTCAACCGAGTAGAAATGCATTGTGTAACTACCAGTCCATTTACCATTTACTTCTCCTAAAGGAGGACTCAGAATAGAACCCCCTGGTGTCAGATAAAAGCTCTTCAATCTAATAATAACGCTATACTTTTTAAAATTATTACTTCATACAACAAACCATTCTGTAGCTTGGATTATTTCCGATAAAAACAACCAAAAAACTAGCTGCATTTTCTGTGTCTCTTAGAAAGAGATTGCTCGCTAGACGCAACATCTGCTCACCTTCCCTGGAGGCCCGCTGTCTCCCTGCTCCCCCTTCAGGCCAGCCTGGCCTGGAGGTCCTGCAATGCCCTGAGGAACAAATTACACAATGTTAACACTGAGAAAAAAAACACTTAATAGTGCTGCCACCGGTGAGCAATATGACATAAACTCAAACCTGCTTTCCTGGTAATCCAGGTATTCCTTCTTTGCCAGGCACCCCATCTCTTCCAGGAACACCAGGTTTGCCTGCTTCACCCTGAGGAGCAGAAATGCCTTAGTATATGTGAATATGTTTATCACTCTCACACTAAAGATCGTTTACTCATTCAAAATCTGAATCGCTGCCTGTGTTAAATTCACATCTTTACATCATTGATCAGTTATGGTCTACACAATAAGACTCTAAATAATGCACACAATGCCAGATAAATGAACTTATATCTATTTTGTTTGATTTTCTTATCAAAGTATGCCAGCACTTATTTTCAGGTTATAAAAGCGCTTCACATTTTAATATATTTAGTCTACAACAGTCAACACATATTACACAAATCCAGCAGTTAGCTATGTGGATGTGTGAGAAAACCAGAAATAATAATGGTAGAAATGTTGATATATCCCCAAAAAAGAAAGAAGGGTCCGATATCCCAAAAAACCCTATGCAGCTCAAGCTGTCAGCAAAATCTTGGTACAGATGTTTTGGCATTTTCAGTTAATCACCTCCCTATTTTCAGCTACAACAAAACTGCCTGAGGGTCAAGACTTTTTTTCACGTTTACATTTCCTCACTGTGTGACACATTGCAGCCGCAGCAGGATTAAGACCAAATACGCACCACCTGCCCTGGCAGTCCCGGAGGCCCCTGTGGACCCTGCAGGGAGAAAAAAGTTACAGTAGTACGAAGGAACACATTTGATACACACCGTGAGATTTTAAATGAATTTCACGAGAAAACATGACAGAATTATTTTCCCCTGCTGAGAAGTTATGATTTGTGGGAACACATACCACAGCTCCTGGGGGACCTGCTGGTCCTGGCAGACCTGTGCTCCCCTGTGCACCAGGAGGACCCTGCAGAGATGAGAAATAAACTCACAGGGTTATCTGTTGTACATCACAACTGTGTGCATTGTTATATTATTCGGTCCCGGAGAAATTTAATGCATTTTATATAAAATGTAAAAAAATTTATACCTGTACACCAACACCTGCTTCTCCTTGGTTACCCTGTAAAAAACAAAAGTTTTATGAGTTTGATAAACAAACCAAAATCTACTTGTTGCACACTAAAGTTTTGATAATGTATTGAACTCACCTTTACACCTGGTGGACCTGGCAGCCCAGCAGGACCCATGGGACCCTGTTAAAAACACATCACCAACGTTGGTAACTGTGAATAAGAGTCTTTGAATGTGTGTGACATGTTTGTCATACTTACAGTCGGCCCCCTAATGCCTGGCTCTCCCGGGTTTCCCTATAAGCAAAGTCACAAAGTCACATAAAAAATTGAACATCTGCACAAAGGCCACATGCTAAAGGATTTTTTTTTTTTACATTTTTAAAAGCTAAATGGCTTTGTTCCTGAGAGTTATGTAAGAATGTCAGCCGTGTCTGTCGCTAAATATAACTTTCTGCTAGGAGTTTCCATTCACAGCACTCCCAGTGAGATGATCACTGATAAAGAAACAAGCAATTCTGCATTTAACCGCTCCAAAAAACAACCAAATGAGTGAATATTAAACTTTGTACAGATCAGCTAATGAGTTTATGTATTTTTGAGGTGTCTGTTTCTAGTCTTTAACTCTAAGTTAAATGACTACTGGCAGTAGCTTTACATGTAACAAAGTGATGTTTTCATCCAACTCTGAGTAGCAAAATCCAGAGCTGAGAAATGACGCCAAAGGTTAAGCTTATGAAACACAAAACTGAGGCAGGTTCCAAAATTGAGTACGTAGACATTTTATTTCTATATATATTTGTATATTAACAATGATTAGCATGCATCTATTAACTGCATTTTATATCCATCAATCCTTAGGTAAAAAAAATGATCACTTAAAAAAAAAAAAATCCTAAAACTGAGGCTTCAGATTTAAAGGTTAAAAACCCCAAACATGTTAAAATGATAAAATGTACAGATAATTTTTTAAAAAAAATGGTAGCCTTTAAAGCTAATTTTAGTTGTCATAATAATGTCATGAACTAATTTTTTAATATAACTTACTTATTACATTTTTATTTAGGCTTAAAGAGGCAAAAAGTCTGCCCCAGTATTTGACGCATGCTTTTACATATACTACCTTTTTTGCACGCATGCAATCTATAGATCATCTTGCTGACCAAGCAAGCTAGCATCAGCTGATAACTTCACCCTCTCATTCAATTCAATTTTATTTATGTAGTTCCAATTCACAACAACACTCGCTTAAGCTGCTTCATATTGTAAGGTAAAGACCCTACAATAATACAGAGAAAACTCCAGCAAACAGATGAGTAAAAACTTGGAGACAGTGGGAAAGAAAGACTTTGGCTAGATCAATTTTTGTATACAGTCAACTCCCAGGAAGCAAGCAAATAACTTTCATTTTCAAAATGTAGAACTATTCCTTTAGGCAACATATTTATGCATAAATATGTTTAGAAAAATTGAGTACTTAAAAAGGTGCACACTTTTTCTGTACCCAAAAATCTACAACTTGGAATGATAAATACTGTCATATGTACATGTCTCTATAGGAAACATAAAATACAAGCACTTAATTGATGGACAACAGGTAGAACAATACAAACAGATTATCTGAAATGTCAACAAGGAGACACTTGCATGGTAAGCTCTGAAAAATCAGCACTGTGCAAGGGATAAGCAAACAACAGACATCAGGCACAGCTGCAAGCATGATAAGCAGATTTGAGCGAATCATCAACCGTACTTTCTGGAGTGCACCCAGTTTAGTATTCCCCACACTACTGTACATAAGAGCTGCGGCTGAGGATGTCAGCCAACTTGCTTTCATCTCGTCTAACAAATTTATGGTATTTTACACATTTAAATTTTTTGCTTCAAAATGTAGTCCTTGAGTTTGACACAGATCCTTTTGGACATTTCATGAGGAACTGTTCGAGGTCTGACTCTTATCCCAGACCTCAGCTCCCAGAATCATGATTCTAATAAGAATGAATTAAGATTAAAGAGGTGAAATTTGCCTGGGAGGTACATGACAACGAGTGCATCCCGATGACAGGTTGTGCTCCTGGTGTTAAATCATGCTTTATTGTTTACCCTGCTTGCTTTGTAAGCTATTGCCCATCAGCGTCTTATCAGTTTTGGTCGAATCCTAATTTTATCTGATACTACAAGGACAGATTCTCCAAACCTTTTACACCTATTTCCCCAAAAGCTCAAGCATGCCAGCCATCAGCAGAGAACCTACCGGTCTGCCTAGAACTCCTGGGAACCCAGGGAAGCCCTGGAGAAATGACAGACAAAGGAAAGTGGATGACAGGAGGGTGGGGGGGACAGGTGGGTGGAGAACAGTGACGAAAAAGGGGAAACGAACAACACACACAAAAGGAAATGGACATAGATAAGACGCACACAGGTAGAGAGAGAAAGTTAAAGAGTGAGGCGTTAGTCGCACAGCTGCACATGGTTATTGCCTAAGGATCTACGAAGCCTCGGCCCAAGGAGGGAAACAGCTCCGTTGGCTTTGAACTTGCAGCCAACCTGCAGCTTTAACTCTGCAGATCAAGCCTAAAAGAAGCAGACTGTGTTACTGGTTACTCACTGGTTGGCCTTGAGGACCAGCAGGCCCTGTTGAACCCTGCTCAGACACGCAGGGAAGGAAAACAAAAAGTGTGAGGAATATTTTCCTTTATCTTTCCTTGGTTTTACCATGACTGATGATAACCATGACTTACAGAATTTCCCCAAAGTGTGTTTTGGGGAAAAAAGATGAAACTTTAATGTGTTCTTTGTAGAGATGTGGTTCCTACTTGTTACATACTTTGAAAACAATAGATTATAGACTCATTATGTCTGTGAATGATTATCAGTGATATAAGGAAATACACACACTTACCAAGTCAGCTGAAATTAATGTTTAGAATACATATTTACAAAATCAATGCTATATCGCTTTCACTTTGACAATTTGAAAGTACAGTGTTGTAAGAGTCAAGTTAACTTTCAGAAACCTCTGCCACACATCTCGCAGGGAGCAGTCCACTTACCGGTTTCCCATCCTGGCCCGGTTTTCCAGTCGCTCCTGGTGTTCCCTGCAATAGCAAGCCACATATCTGTATCCTGACAAATCTCATAATAGTAATTATCATAATAGTTTTATATTAGACTTAATAACACTTTCGAAGAATACCTGTACAGCAAATTTTCTTAACGCAATTTAGCTGAACATCAACAAATATGAACACAACAAGTCATCTTTACGTTTCAGTTTTGCAAGATAAACAAGAAACAATGTTTGAATTAGTGGGAATTTAAGGAGGCGGAAGAGAAATTTTAATAGCTTTAGACATAGCTTGACTAACTGTTTCCCCATGCTTACAGTCTTTAAACTAAGCTAAGCCAACCAGCAGCCTTCAATAGTGTAATATTTAGTGGACAGATGTTAGGATCACATGTTTTAATCACTGATCTTCCTAACAAGCAGGAGGTGGTAGTCAGAATATTTAAAACACATTTTGAGTTAATGATTGGAGTAACAAAATATTTTAATCAAGGCTCCATTTGAGAGGCAGCTCACCTGTGAGCCATCACGGCCTTTTTCTCCTGGCTCTCCTCCCTCACCTTTATCACCTCGAGGTCCCACGAAACCCTGTAAGGCGCATTCCAATTGTTTATTCATATTAAGACACATACGATGTGACACAAGATGTGTGTAATATGCGTAAATCTTACGCGGTCTCCTTTAGGTCCTGACGGTCCTGTAGCACCAGGTTCTCCCTTCAACCCAGATACTCCAGGAGGGCCTCTAGCCCCAGGAGACCCAACCAGGACTGAGTCAGCAGATTCTCCCTATAAACCATAATCACATACATATCTGTGAATCCTTTTTTTACTCTACATTTACTAAATATCTTATCACAACAATAACTAAAACTATTTTACCTTTTGACCTGGCGGGCCAGCTGGTCCTGTTAATCCATCCCGACCCTGAGAAACAGAACAAACTATCAGTTAACTACAAGAACCAGGAAATTTACTAAAACAAGAAATGAAACCATCAACCTAATAAGAGGACTCACAGAATCTCCTCTGTCACCTTTCTCTCCTCTTTCCCCCTAAAAAACAAATATACAATGTCATCAGTGTGATGCCACAAAAAGAGACCCCATTTGGTTGCCCAACTCTCCTCTCCACCTTATCTCCTGGCCTTCCTGCCTCTCCTAGTTCCCCAGCTCGTCCAGGAAGACCTGGTATCCCAGGCTTGCCAGGCTCCCCGGCAGGCCCCGGAGGTCCCTCTGGCCCTCGTTCGACAATGGCTCTGCCTGGGGCCCCCGCCGGTCCCACAGGTCCTCGGTCCCCTGCGTCTCCTTTGCCGCCCCTCTCTCCAGGAAAACCACGAGCACCCTAGGGCAAAACCAGAATAAAAAACGATTTCTCTGTCAATTTCATTCGATTAATTACACTCTAAAAAAAAAAAAAAATCCAAACAAGATGCTTCATTCTATCTGACTGGAAGTCTTCACATCATTTTGTCTTTTCACTTTAATCCTCGAAGATGCTTAGTCACACTTACATCTGCTCCAGATGGTCCTCTCTGTCCAGGCTCACCCTTATCTCCCTTTTCACCTTTCTCTGAAAGTGTGTCCTTGCTGTCCACAGCCTTCTTCAGATCAGACACCTGTGTGGAGCAGAAATCCAAAACGGAAAAGCTTTATAACTTTCAGCAGCAGATGCCCATCTGCAAAATGTTTTAATCCCCAGATAAAACCAGTCATTTAGAATTCATCCCAGCAGCTCAAAAACTGCTCATAAACAGTGTCACTTTAACCTGCCAGGCATAATTCTAAAATATATAAGCAGGTGTATGTGCATAATAAATGAAAGACTCATGCCAACATTTACTGGACTAAATGAGCTGCTGAAACAAGGCCAGACATAAATGGTATGATGACATTTGCAAGAACAAAGTGGGAAATATAACACTTTGCATACATTTGCAGGAAATGTTCTTCTCTATAAGCTATAACAGAAGCAAGAGTAAGTGCTGATTTTAAGACTGTTTAGATAATTGCATTTTTCCCCATTATTCCATCCATCCATGCAAGTGAAAGCCAAAAGAAATCGTGTTCAAATTGAGTTAGTCATCTGAGGAGTCCACCTACCTGAATACCAAAGCCTGCCAGAGCTTTCTGTACATCCTGGCAGGAAACACGGAGACATTATTAAACCGAGATGTAGAAATGTAAAATACTAACAACTGACAATTACATGACAGGCAATGTGCTGATGTCTTACCACTGACGTCCCGGGTTTGCCAGGTGCTCCATCCTCTCCTGGGTCTCCCTAAACATAACAAGATATGAAGGAGTCAAAAAAAAAGTGGACCCTCCATGTCACATTTTCACTGAATGTTTCACTTACAGTTTCACCTTTCAGGCCAGGCAGACCTCGCTCTCCCTGAAAACAAAAAAGAAAAAATGAGAAATACCAATGAGGGTGAGGAGGGAATCGCACTGAAATATCATCATAACAAACTGCGCACAATAATAACGGCATCACAATAAAATGATTCTTAGATCTTTGCAATCTTTCTTTTGTGCAAGAAAAAATACTCCAGAAATGGGGAAAAAAAAGCAGGGCTTATTTCTTTAGTAATGTAACTTTGATGTTAGAGTGTGTGTGTGAGTTGTTATTAGTCAGCTTTAATAACATGTTAGTTCAAAGTACTCCAGTTTATACTTGCTAACTAAATGGTAAGTTAAATTTTCAAAGAGGACTGTGAATGTCATATGCCAACTAAAGAGTCTTGAGGTGTAATGAGTTCTCATAAGAATAGAAGGTGAAAGACTTGACCTGTAGCTGCTGTTACATATAATCACATTTCCATTCACTTCCTGTTTCAGCTACAGAAGCAGGACACCAGTTAATACAAAAAAGCCCAGAAAAAAAAAGAAAAAACATCTCGAAACTACAACTTACTCTGGTTCCTGCAGCTCCAGGGATTCCTGGGACACCCTGAAAGGAAAACGGGGACACAAAAATGAAGACACCCTGGCAGCTAACAGCAACTTGTGTAGATATGACACACATAACTGCTGCTTGTGGATGTTGGTGGCTCATGGTTTTGGGGATAACAAGAGCAACATACATAGAATATAGTGGACAGTAATAATTATTTGACTGCCACTTATTTTCTTTAAAAATATATATTTCTCCAATAAATAAGCTAAAAGAATCTAACTAAAAGATGCTCAATTTAGTTTCAGCAGCGCCAACAACGGCAATAAGAATGGTGATGCACACTTACGGGCGTTCCTGGGGGCCCCTGTGGACCTGGGATTGGTGTTGCTTCAGCTCCTTTCACATACACAACCTGAGAAAGGGGAACATCCCGTTTCATTCAAAACGCCAAATTAACTTTGCTATTTTTCACATGTTGGCTTCACTCGCACCTGACCAGGAGGACCAATGCTGCCAGGTAATCCAGGTGCTCCTGGGGGACCAGGGGAGCCTAAAGGCCCAGAAGGACCACGGTCTCCTTTCTCCCCGTCACGGCCCTGAAAAACACATGCTGTTCACAACTGAAATTCACCCCACACACTTTCTTCCTCCTTCACTATAGTAAAGGCTGAACTATAAAATCAAAGCAGGTGGCCGCTGCCACCCCTCCACTGATGTTCTAGAGATAATTAATATGAATTTGCACATGAAACCGGCACTCTGACATTTGGCACCCCTCTGGATTCCACTCAGAAGTCACTCCACTTAAAGGCTAAGCTAGATCATTAGAGGTGAATTTATATAGCTTCTTCAGAGGAGCCCATTGATTCAGCAGTGAGAAGCCGATGTCAATTTTAGAACAAACTATGGCTGACAAATATACAGCTGAAGGGGGAAGTGATCAGGAGAAAAAAAGGACGGAAAGCTGATATGCAATAAAGTCATAACAGGAAGGCAGGGCGATATAAGGCATCTCGATAAGATATATAAAAAACAAACTGACAACAAACACATTTTTGAAAAGTAATCATATGAAAGAGGTTTGTGAAAACTGACATCTCTTCCAGCTGCTCCAGCTTCGCCTTTGTCACCCTGTAGATTAGAAATAGACATTAAATACAATCTTCAAAAATAATTCTGCTAAATTCTGCTAAATTATTTCTTGTTTTAATCCACTCTTAATGTGCACATCATGTAAAAATAAAAACCAATGTCTAATGTACATACATGTAACATGAAATTTTACATGACAATCGCATGGCTTGGTTAGCAAAAATCGTGCCATGGGTCAAGTAAGATGCCTTTACAGAGTCAAACTGTGGAAATCATGTTGACTAAATCGTATAAAAGAGACACAGACCTTTCTACCATCTTCACCTGGCACGCCATCCTCGCCCTGTGAGTCCAAACAAAATGCATTACAACAAACAGGAACAAAGTGCATAATGGCCAGTCTGCCATGGGAGCACTCAGTGCCTCTGCTTTAGAAACTCACTTAAGCGAACCATTATGCGGCAGAGCCTGAAATAAATGTCCATACTGCTTTTGATCAGTAAACATCATTTACAGAATAAAGGTATAAAAAAAAGGCCATTACCAATTATACAAGTACATCAAACTATGAGGATATTATATTCAGGAGGTCAGAGTTACCGTTTTGCCAGGTGGTCCAGCTTTGCCATTTTCACCTGCTTTACCCTGACAAATAAAAGTAAGGTTAATTAGAAATTTGGAAGCGGAAGTTCGGTAAAAACATGTATAGGCCTGACAGACAGAACGATGGAACTTTGTGGGAGTCTCTTTTTGAGTGGGATAGAGGGGTACTCACAGGTATCCCTGGATTGCCTGCAGGTCCAACAGGCCCTGGGGGACCCTGCGCCCCTACTAGTCCAGGTAATCCCTGGCAGAAAAAACCAACAAATAATCCAAGAGTAGATTTTGCAATGAATTACTAGACACTGTAATACAGTGCAAAACAGATTTAAATGTGATTTGTTTATTTTCTGAGACGATCACTGTGTAAGAGATGTCATCGCTAGATAGACTTTAATGTGCATGAGCAGCTGCAAAGCTGTTGTACAACTGCCCTGTAAGCCAGGATTTAGATCTTTTAAATAAACCCTAAGTTTCAAAGTTCTGGACTTTTAATAACATTATTATGGTCAATATTGCATAACAGTCTCCTCTGAATAATGGACTGGCCTGGAGACATCTTTCCCTACAGTCGGCTTACGCAACTCAGCACAGATCTAAAAGCTGTTTTTTTACAGTTTCCACAGTGCCCTCTGCAGGACGCCCACTTCAAGTGCATATGCTCACTAAAATTGAGAATGTTGCAAAATAATGACCCCACATCCCCGAATTGGATGAGTGGAAGAGAACGGATGGATAGGTGGATGCTCATTAAAATCAAACTATAGAAGACATTTCCATCATGAACGATCATTTGCACGGTGATCATCTCAGACAATATGAAAAGTACATTTCCTGAAACTACATTAAATACATTTCCGGTGTAAAATGATTAAAACAGAACAATGAATGAAAACCTGAAGGGGCAAACAATTATACCTGTCTACTTAAGTAACAATACAACCAAAAATAATGTGTTTATTTTGTGATGATTGCCTCTTTCACACAATCATCTTTAAAGACAGAGAGAAACAAAACTTACATCCCTCCCTGGATCTCCCTGTTTCCCAGGATCACCCTATAGCACAAATAAAAACAAATGCAGTGCATCAGCTACACAAAGACTCTGTGAGTCTTATAGTTTGGTAAAAAATGAGACAAACTGAAATACCCTCTGGCCAGGTGGCCCAGGAGCCCCTGGTTTACCATCAAGACCAGGACGCCCATCTAAGCCAGATGCTCCCCGTTCTCCCTGGTAATACATCAGTTAAGAGTTAGGAAATCACATGGTTATTACAGTCTGTAAGTTAGCAGTAAAAGTGATTTAACTTTGCTATGAAGCTTACTTTCCCCTATACACATGTTTCTGCCAGCAGATTCCTACTGGAAATCTACTGTTTCACTAACAAAACCAGTGGAAGTTTCCTTGCAGCACAATGACAGAACTACACATGTCAGAAGAGAGCAGTAGATGCGATTGTGTGATTCCAAACCTTCTCTCCAGGTGGTCCTCTGTCTCCTGTGTCGCCCTATAAAAATCAACGTGACATAAATATAGTTGAAAGTCAGTGAAATTCAGACAGTTAAAGATATGCATTAGAGATAATTGTAATGTAGAGAATGAGAGAAGGAAAGTCCACTCACTCTTGTCCCTGGAGGCCCCCGTTGTCCCTCAGGACCCTTTATAGACGACAGGAAAAGAACAAGAAGGCACATCACTCTTGCATACTAAAATCTACTGAGAACAGGACCTGTGCGTATTCAGATTGCATTTAAAAATTGCAAGAATGAGGAACACTCACTCGTAGGCCTGGAGCTCCAGGAGTCCCCGCCTCACCTTTCGTGCCTTTGCCGCCATGCTCTCCTGGGTCACCAGCATCACCCTGGGAATAACAGTGATGTAATCTGCTGCTATATACTTTTTTTTACCCAGTTACCTTATATTTTTCAACTTATTTCAGCTATTGGTGTTTATTTAGGATATTTTAACAGGTCAAACGAACATACTTGATTTTGTAAAAAAAAATAAAATAAAATTATCAGTGTCTACATGCACAGAAAAAGCACTCACCTTTTCTCCTCTCTCTCCTTTCAGCTGGCCCTGGATATCAGCCTGTTGACAAACAAACATGGCAAATGTCACATGTAGCTCTGCCTCCTCTGTGTTATCAAAATTGGATTATAAGTAGTTAATTCAGTGTTAAGCTGATTCCTGGAGGCTGTTAAACAGTGTTCTGTGACACTGTTTTTTTACCACTGTTCCTGGTGGTCCTTGGGGCCCTTGAAGTCCCTGGTTGAAGAGAATAAAGTGTGTGAATCCCCTAACGGTACATATAAAGACACATCTCCCATTTCCAAAATGAAAATAAGCACCATACCTGTTCTCCCTTCTCTCCTCGTGGTCCAGACGGTCCAGGGCTGCCCTGTGATTGAACACAGATCAATAAAGGTGCTGAGCGGCCGACCTTTTTCACAGCTCCTTCTCTCAAGGTCTTAACAGAATAGTACAAGAGCATACTGAAAAGCTGTCTGTATGATAACACATAAATGAGCGTCTCACATTTCGTCCACTCTCTCCAGGGTCTCCTATGTCTCCTTTCTCGCCCGGTGGCCCTGGCTGACCAGTCTGACCCTGAGTGCAGCATCAATCAAAATGTCTGTTAAGTGAACTTTCAAATGAGGCAATTTAAAGGTTACGATTGAAAACTTAACTTTAAAATATGCTTCAAAGAGATTTGTCATACCCTCAGTCCTCTTTCTCCTGGCTTCCCTGGAAGTCCAGACTCACCCTGATGAAAAATTAAAGTAAAAAAAAGAAAATGGCCAAGAGAAAGGATGGAACTACACCTAAATATTCATGACAGAAGGATCCTTTCTTTGTGGATATATATGATGGGGATGATATTCTAGTCAAACAAACATATTATAAAAGGTAAAAAGAAAACAGAAAGAATGTGAAAGAGCAGATGTTATACTCACAGGAATGCCTTCATCACCCTTCTCTCCTCTTTCCGCCTAAAAAAACGGGATTAATAATTTATTTGGGTGTGAAGCTCTGTGGCATTAAATTTCAAAATCAACACTAACCCAGTAGAGCATCTGAAGAGAGTACACATGCACAAAAGAAAGGCACTGGACATGTCATGAATACATAAAGGGTACTTGTTTTTACCTCTAAAACGACCATTAGAAAGAGGCGCATGTTGAAAGAAACAGAAGAAGGTTGCTGTTGATTTTTGATTAGAGCACTGAGAGCAACATGGACAACCTTAATATCTTAATAGAAAAGTATGGAGTAAAGTGCAACAGTATATGGACACCTACACATTACACCTACAGGAGCTGCTCAGCCATGAAAACCCATACCATGAAGGTCTCGACACACAGTTATTGTGCTGATGTTAATGCGCAAGGAGGTTTGGAGCTCTGTAACTTTACGTGGTCTGACACTTGGTAGCTGAGTTGCTGTGGTTCCTATATCTTTCTGGTTTCAATAATTGATTGTGTTGTATTTTAGTGGATTGTGGAATATCTCGCAGGATAGAAAGTGACTTGTTAAGGTGTGGCCCAATACTTTTATCCATATAATGTACTTCACTGTGTAAGGTAAACCAGTGAAAGAATAATAGAGTATAAAAGTTTCAGTAGAAGCTATAGTTTCCCATAGAGGCTGGACCATATGGTTGATATTATAATAGGAATATTAATGTGGAACCAGACAACATTTTCCATATATCATAAATTTAGATTATCAACTGATTATTACACTTATTTTAAGTACAGAAAATGTATGTCAACAGTAAATATATTTACACGTGAGTCGCAATAAAACTTAAATTATCACTCAAACCTTCACCCTATTTGTAAACTCTTGGAAAAAAAACTGTTGCTTGTCACAGTAAAGGTCAGGTAGTAATGTCATCCAAAACACCGCTCTGACCTGTTTACCGGGAACGCCTGGCTTTCCTGGGAATCCTGCGCGTCCATTTTCTCCCCTCTCTCCCGGTTCACCTGGATCTCCCTAACAACCAGTTAAGAGGACCAGATAAACAATCAAACAGACACTAATAAACAAAAACAACTGAAAGCATACACAGCCGGCCTCTCACCTTGGCACCTGGCTTTCCGCTAATACCAGCGGGCCCCTGAGGGAAAAGCATATGTTTATGTACTATTGCTCTGAGAGGTTTGGGAATGACAACAGGTGGCACAAGGGAAAGCTTCATGAATAACTGATGCTTGTGTCAGGAATACATCACGGCAGCTGTAAACAGTGCATCTGTGCCCTTTGTAGCTCTGATAAAGAGAAGTTAGGATGACTTACTCGCTCTCCCGGCTCTCCCTTAGGTCCTGCAACACCTGACCCTCCAGAGCCCGGAGACCCCTTACAGTATAAGAAAAAAAATCAAAAACCATTATGAGGTACGGCAAATGATGTACATTTAAAAGCAATAATTAACCTATTTTTCTCACTTTCTCTCCTCTCTGCCCTGGTTCTCCCTTTTCTCCTCTCGAACCGTCAGGGCCAGGTACACCTCGCTCCCCCTGCGGGTGAAAAGCGCCGGAAGTTACACCCATGAACTCTGAGCGAGCTCCGCTAAAATGAAAAGTTGTAGGAGATGCGATTTTACACATTACCTGTTCTCCTTTCCTCCCTGAGAGACCTTGAACCTGGATGATTTAAATAATTCAATAAAAGCTTGTCATCATACGCATAGACTGTCATAAATATTAAGTGTATATCCAAAAAACGCATGAATAAATGAATGTATGTGATGATTTTCTCATGTCTGATTGCTCACAGTTCTCCCAGGCTCTCCTCGTGCACCGTCATTTCCCTGGGAACAGACATGTTCACTTGTTCTTTCATCTTTGCTTGGAAATTCATTACACCAGATTATGAAACATTCAACGACAAAATCACGTTCCTATTGACCCGCTGCCTGTCATATCATTGCACTTAATTATATCAGTCTCACCTTTTCTCCTGGCGGTCCACTGGGTCCTGGTAAACCCTGTTACAAAAAGGAAACACCATTTTGTGAGACTCCTAATGCAGATGATGCAACAAGCATGAAATGGAAAGGCACACAGATGCCATTAGCCAATATAACATAGCAGTCTGTCACTTACTCTTACACCTGCTGATCCTGGAGGGCCTGGCTTCCCTGAATCTCCCTGAGGAGGCCATTTAATTCAGAAAAGAGTGAAAAAAAATCTTTTGAAAGCACAAGATGCTAACCTTTAACTAAGACTACAAACTAAACCAGTACTCACTCTTTCTCCAGTTTCACCAGCTGGTCCTCTCTCCCCCTACAAACATAAAAAAGTTCAAATTCAACACATGCTCTTTCGGTGAAAGTTTCTCTGTATTAAATCAGCACATGCAATCAACAGAGTCTTACTACCATACCTGCAAACACTACAACTGAAAACATTACAAACCTTTTTGGGGTGTGCTCGAATACGTGTGGGTAAAACGATGCACAGCATCAGTGGTACCAATCTACTGAGCATCAGTGATATCACTAAGGTGTCTGCTGAGAGGATACTAAAAATCCTTCCCATCTGGCAAGTGATAAAATGGCATCATCCATCATAATTCATGACTGTTTCTTTTCTCGGGCTCTTTGATATATCATTTTATGACCTCATTACTTATTCATTCATTCTGATTTGTTTTGTGAGTAGCATAAAAGGACTACAGCTGTTACATCATCACAATGATTTTTTTTAAATAAATGTTGAATCTTATAGAAAAGGCGCCCCAAATATTGTGAAAAGTTATCTTGATCCATATAACAGAAAGACGAATAAACAGTGACACAAAGAAAGATTCAGTCTCATGTCATGTGACTCACCCTATCTCCCTGTGATCCAGGCTCACCTGGTTGCCCTCTGTCTCCCTATCAGGAAAGAGAGAGTGATAGAAGTCATTATTCCGTTGGAAAAATGGCAAAAGTTTTTTTTCCCCTGCCATCGTCTTACCTTGCTGCCAATTCCTCCTGGAGGCCCACGGGGCCCCTGAAAAACAGAAACAAAATGTTCAAACCTAAATTTGTCAGCTCCACTGAGGGGGTTATGAATTTATTTCTGTTTCTAATTACACTGTTTCCTAATTAGCAGGATTTCTCAGCACCCAAACATGGCCATTTAGAAAGCATTTCCTCAAAACTCTGTAACTGTAAGGCACAGAAGCACTTTTTTCACATGTATTTATCTATCTAAGCCACCTTCATCATCCTGTCTGTTCTTTCTGATATTTACTGCATAAAATGGATACATCTTCATCATACTGTACTATGAGCCATGCTTTTTAAACACCTATGTGTCTGACCTACCCTGTCCCCAGGTTCCCCATTTTTCCCTGGAGGTCCAGGTTGTCCTTCGGCACTGTCACCCTGAAAAATAATCACAGGCCTGTGAAATAAACACATTGCATCACTCTTAAACCGACTCAATAGGCAACTACCTTCTCCCCTTTTCTGCCCTCAAGTCCTGCAGGTCCTGGAAGACCCCGAGGTCCCTGAAGTCCTGGAATACCCTGATAATACAAAAAGCAATTAGGAAATGCAAAATATGCCTTGTTGTACACAGAGCCAACCTCCAAAATAATGTGTCACCACACTGTCTGCGATTGACAGCTCTTACAGGGGAGCCCTTCTCGCCTTTCACCGCCACCCCGCTGCCTACTCCTGGAGGTCCCTGTCAGCAAAAAGAAATAAGAGGTGAGAAATCATTCTGCTCGTGTGGTCCTTCGCAGGGAAAGGACAAGTTGGTGATGGTGTGACTCACCCTCTCTCCTGGGCTTCCCTTGTCTCCCTGTAGAAAAAAAATGGAGGAGGACAGAGAAAGACAGATTGAGAAAACAACTGGGGGAGAACGAGGATTCAGAACATTGTTACTAGGACGAAAAACTCTATAATAAGTTTCCCAAGAGACTGATGAGCGTCCTGTGTATGCACACAAACTCACAGGTTGATCTGTAAAAAAAACCCCAAAAAACAAACAAAGGACGTCTCTGCTGTTTTATGTATTGTATTATTGCAGTCACAAGCTGCTACTTTTTTCCCACACTGTGAACACTGCGGCTTATACTGACGTGCGGCTAATGCATATTTTTTGTCATGCAACCAAAAACATTTTGCCTGGTAACAGTAGACCAATAAAATTGATAAGTAGTATATACACGGTATATATTTTTACCGGTTGTTATGTTACGTTGTAATATTGTTTGTGCACTGTTCCGTAAAAAAAACATACGCAACGTAATGTGTGTGTTACCGATACGTACATATACTTAAAGGTAGCCGTGTTACAGGCGCTGTTTGAGGAAAAAAAGCATTTGCAGTATGTATTTTGTATGTTATCATAACATTTATGTTATCATGTTTATTATGTTATAAGTGAAATGCATACGGCTTATCTGGTGCGGCCTGTACAAGTGCAAAATTGATTTTCTTTCTAGGATTAGAGCATGCGGCTTTTCATCAGGTGCGCTTTGTAGTCCGGGATTTACGGTACCTTAAAACTAAGGCAGATTGACATAATACAAAGATCTGTTAATAACGGGACATTCTTATAAAATAACTGAAGAATTGGAAACTTTGCTGGGAAAGAGAATAAAGGATGTGATTTTTCTTCATTATTTCCCAGTGGGTCACCACAGCTGATTGATCTGTCCCTTTATCCCCAGCCAGTGACCAGTGAACACTATTATAGACATGTCCAGACTTCAGACTTCGCAAAATCAAACAGCATCAGCCTCTGGGGCAATCGTGGCTCAAGAGTTGGCAGTTCGTCTTGTAATCAGAAGGTTACCAGTTCGAGCGCTGGCTCGGACAGTCTCGGTCATTGTGTCCTTGGGCAAGACACTTCACCTGTTGCCTACTGGTGGTGGTCAGAGGGCCCGGAAGCGCCAGTGTCTGGCAGCCTCGCCTCTGTCAGTGCACCCCAGGGCAGCTGTGGCTACAACGTAACTTGCCATCACCAGTTTGTGAACGTGTGTGTGAATGGTGAATGATTGAATGTGTAAAGCGCTTTGGGGTCCTTAGGGACTAGTAAAGCGCTATACAAATACAGGCCATTTAGCATCAGTCTCTGTTATTGAATATGAAAACTGGATTTTTAATACATTGAAAGAAAAAGAAAAAAGACCTGAGACTTTTTAAATATGGAGTGGAAAACTGAAAAGTAGAAACCTGGATAAAAACCTCCAACCAAAGAAAAACTGCTCAAAGATTTCTTTACATATACAGCCAATGATTGATATTCCACTGATGAAATATGCAGGCAGCTCAATACTACCACCATGTGTGAGACTCTGACAATAACAGTTTCTTGTTGGAGAAATGCTCCAGAGTTCATAAACCATATCCAACAGCTGTTTTCTCAGTAGGAATGGAAATAATGGAAAGAACTGAGTGAAAAAACTGTACCCACCCAAGTATACAATGACCAGTATATAATAAGCTTGTATATAATAACAGAGCAAATATTCATTGCATTTAAAACTGCTGCTGTTTCCTTGTACTTGTAACAGAGCTAAGGGAAACTGACTGGGTGGTTTAAGATACGTTTTAGCACCGATATGGCAGAGAACAAAACTTCTGCACATAAGTCAACCTGGCGGTCAGTGTTTTGCACTAGGAAAGGATGTGGGCTCATACAAACATGAGACATGAGTGAGGGCACTTTACAAATCTGATGTCAAAAGAATTAACTATGAAAATCTATTTCTTTTCTTAGTAGAAGCGAAACAATGCAGGAGAAAAACCTTGACAGAAAGCCCTGATGTTCCTGGTATTCCTGGGCGACCATCCTGGCCTCGTGTCCCTGGAACTCCAGGTTCTCCTTTGGTGCCGTCCCTGCCTGGCCGACCTGGTATACCCTTGCCACACAACAAAAACTCAACTCAGTACATATGAATGATGGATGACCATACAAACCATTTTAACTACACTCTCTTCAACACATAAGATTTTACAGATGACACTTTGGCCCACTGTGGGTTTTAGGATTACCCTGGCTATTTAAAGGAAGTTAAAGAATGCTGTGAATGTCAACATAAAAAACATCCTAACTGGTTATCTGGTGTTTTTCTTACATCTGTTCCTGGAATGCCTGGTTCTCCTTTCCTCCCTGGAAGACCCCCACCACCAGATGTCACAGAACCTGGTTCACCCTAAAATATCAACAAAGTGCAGTAAACAGTGGAATAATAATACTTCACCTTTTTTCCTTTTGAAACTGGCAAAAACAAACTGAATTGGAAAAAAAAAGGTTAAGAAGTTTTTAAGCTCACCCTTTCACCTTTATCACCCTTGGGCCCCAGTGGTCCTGGTGTTCCTGGTTCACCCTAGAACAACAGAAAACAAAGGAAACACTGCAGTTCAAACCCGGTCACCAACAACTCTCTGGTACAGGACGGCTGGGGCTACTTACTGGGTTTCCTCTGACACCAGGTAAGCCTTGTGAACCCTGTGCAGTAAAAAAAAATAAAAATAAAAAAATAATAAGTAACAGTATTTTATTGACTCGCTGCTAACAAAATCATCAACAGTCTGTGGGTTCCAGTCACTCTACTCACAGGAACACCTGCATTTCCAGGGGCACCTGGTCGCCCTGGTAACCCTGGATTTCCATCAATACCGGGAAAACCCTAAAGAGAACATGGCTCATTAGTTTGCTTCTGTTTTGGCTGGTTTGCATGGTTTAGAATGATTTCAACTACACTTACTCGCTCTCCCTTTTCTCCTTTTACCACTAGCGAAGGGTCAATTGGGACACTTTGGCCTGGTGTTCCTGGACGACCTTCAGGGCCTCTGGGGCCATCTCTCCCAGGCAAACCATCACGACCCTGTAAGAAGATTGCTATTTTCAAGAAAGAGCTAGCATGGCGGTGGACTGCAAACCGACATGCAGATTTGCATTAACCATAGGCAGGCTAAAGCAACATAAACAGCACAACCTGTGTAGAGCTGCCAGTTAACACGTTCAGCTGAGCCAACACTGTTGTGGGCTGATATTGATTTGCTGGATTTGCGACTGAACCAGACTTTGTGGCCTTCCTGGACTGACTTTACACTCAATAACTGGATGCTTGCTAAAATGTCATATCAATATCCATTTGCAGTAACACTGCACTACTGCAATGCCAAACTGAATCATCAAGTTCAGTATAATTACATGACTCACAGGCTCTCCCTTGCGTCCTTCTGCACCATCTCTGCCTCTCTCACCCTGTGGGTTCAAACAAAGGAAACAGCATCTTAAAAGCTGAAGAACAAGACCACTGGAGAAAAAAAAGTTCAACTTCAGCTCTTCAATACCTTTTCTCCACGTTCTCCCTTGTCACCCTAAAAGAAAATTTAAAAATAACACCAAAGATTTAGAAATTATATATGAACGGCAACAGAAGAAAGCTCTTGCTTTTATCAGTTACATAATTAACAAGCAATTAATCAGAGCAGGTTACATCAGTCAATTTGTGGTTATAGGTTACAAAACGTAAAAATACAGCATGACGGTACACAATAACGTACCCGAGGGCACTGAATGGTGCACTCATCTGTACTTTGACTAGTCTAAAAAACATCAACAGAAACAGCTGAGATTTAGACTTTAATTCAGTTGAATCTTATCACCGTTAAAATAATCGACACATATTCACTAATGTGAGTGTTACAGATGTTTAAATAGTTACTGGAAAACTAGCAGTTTTGTTTTTCTTCTTCTTTTTTTAAGTACATGTCAGTCCAGATCACACCAAGCTTAACTCTAATTCAAGATTGTAAACAAAATATTTTTTCTGGTTTCTTCCCACCTCTTGCGGCCTGGCAATACCACAGAGCAAGTCGGCTAGATTAGATTGTAGCGTGTTCAGCTGCGCTGGATAGCTTGTATACAAGAGGTTGTTGTTGCCATCTGACACAGCCTGATACAGCTCCACAGTGTCTGCCTGGTCGACACCAACAGCTAGGACTTTCACACCTAGCAAACATGCAAACAGAAAAAATCAACAGTATTTGTTTGCAAGGCAAAAAAGATCATAATATCTGTAGTGTACTGCAATTGAACAAACTATTTGTGGAATTATTTTGTAAGCATTGTTAATTAATTAAATTGTTTATTACAATTTGATATGCCAAATACTCAGCATATCTCAGCATGATGGGCAGTGTGTCCGGCTCTGTTCAAGATGCTTTCAGATGTTTCATTCTATTAATGCTTTTCATTTATTTTTAGATTGAACACATGGCTTCCTACATTTTTAGACACACTTTTGTGGTAGATATGTCCCAACTAAACTGTTCCAATTCTGTCAAATATGCTGCCTTCATAGGGACCAGGCAGTAACACCCATCCAAGTTAAAGCAGCTGTCATTCTATTATATTCTGTTAATATTGTGACTTCATGTCAGTGATGCTCTGAAAGAAAACCTGTAGCTTTGAGACTGCTGGCTGCAAGGCTCAGGTCGTCATTGGAACGTTTGTCAGCGATGATGACAACAACACCAGGGACCCTTAGTCTCCGTCCAGCCGATGGGGTCAGGAGATACTGTCTGGTGAATGTTACCGCCTCACCTGCAGAGGGAGACAGGCAATATCACAAATGTCATCGCACAAAACAAAGCAGCTGCTCAGATGGCACTCAGTAAGAACAGCAAAGGACTGTCAGAAAAGATAAGGAGAAAGACAAAAATCCCAACCGATATTGCTCCCTGGGCTTTCATCAAAGGGTATGGACTGAATCTCTTGAAGAAGGGTGTCAGATCTAGCATGGCGATTGAGCAGGAACCATATTTTGGGTCTAGAACCATATACTACAACCCCGATCTGAAACAAAAAAAAATAGCCCATAAGTAAAAGCTAAAAAAGGACTGGGAAAAAAAAACAGTTGTACATTTCCCTGATCTGTTGTGAGACTTTTTTGACAAAAAGTACCTGTGTGTTGAGGGCTCCAGTAGTTCTGAGAGACTCTGCTGTATTTGTGAGGAATTCACGTAAAGGTCTTGCAAGATTAATACGATCAGTTGACGCAGGTACCAGAAACACCACATCCAGAGACCCAAGCGCACACACTGCAAACAGAGGTGTGTGTCAGGGTTAGTAAGCGATACATTCTTAAACAAAAGCATGTGAAAGAACATGTGTTTGTTTTACCAGGGCGTCCAACTACAGAGCTTTCCCCTCCTAGTCCACTTGCAAAGTTGGGTTGCAGGCTAAATCGATATTGAAGGCCCAAACGCAGCCTGGGCACCTCATAAGAGCTAGATGACGCAGGCAGCGTGGTGGACAAGACTCGACCACTATCTGAGAAATGTGAACAGTGGGATTAAATGAAATGAATAATGTTAACAATGTGGAAGTTGAAACAAAACAAAAAAGTGAACATGCATACCGCGATGCCTTACCTGATTCTTCTCTCCAACGAAGAATATATCCGGTGGCACCTTGTAAAGGACTCCAGCCCAGCCGCACAGAATCCTGGGTAACCTCTACCACTCGTAAAGTTGTGGTAGGCAATGAAGGCGGGGTATAATCACCAGCTGTGTGCATTCAGATGTAGTCAATTTATCCCATTTATCAGTAAGTTTTGTACATCTTAACGGTTTTCTGTGAAATTTGAGATTTTGCAGCGAGGCTTCACAGAACCCTGCATATTCCTGAAGGTTTATGTTAGCACCAATCAGTATTTATGAATTACCTCTAAAACACATTTCCTGCAATTATATCCAAAAGTCAGGACTCACGTGTGGTAATGCTGACAGATACCGGGGCTCCCTCTCTGTTTTGGACTAAAGCCATGACCTGCACCTCATACTGAACTCCAGGGTCCAGCTGGTCTAAATCCACTGCTGTCACATCTCCAGCTACCAGCTGACTCCTCTCTTCACCACCTACAGCAAAACACAGCAAGAGTGAGTGATCTAAGAGAAACAAGCTTTTATAACACTTTAATATCAGAAGAGACAAAAGAAGAAAAAAACCACACACCATCTGTTCTCCTCCAAGACACACGATAAGATGTTGCTCCCTGCATGCCAACCCAAGTGACTCGGACAACCTCTCCGCGGCCCTCCTGGACTTGCAGTGATGTCACAGTCCCAACCGTGGACTGATCTGGTTCTGTCAGTAGGATCAGGAAAATACTAAGCATTGTTTTCCAAGTAATCCACACTCACAGCTAGGTTTATGTAAAAAGATACCCAGAACAACAGCTGCAAAGTGTATTTGGCTGATCCAGTGAGATACCTGTTTTGACATCTAGAACTGCAGGAGTCCCTTCTCGAGATCCAGTCAGTGTAGAAACCTGCACTGTGTAAGCCGAATCTGGCTGCAGTCCATCGATAGTGTAGGTAGAAACACTGGCATCAACGTTACGACTAGTTTCGACTCCTGCAGCGAGCAGAATATTGTTTGACACTAACACATTCCTTTATTTATTAATCATGTATGTGGTTCCATGTAAATGCATGCATTTGCTTTTAATGCAAATAATTACAAACCATCATCACGGCGCCACGTGATCTTATACCCAGTTGCCCTCGAGGAAAGTGACCACGCAATGCGTATTCTCTGAGGCGTGATGTCAAGGACACGAAGTCCAGAAAATGACCCACTTTGGGGATTGGTCTTAGTAGCCAGCGTGGCCACCTCTCCAACACGCTGATCAGCAACAGCTGCAACACCAATTATTAGTGTCTCATCTGGCTGCAGGCCTTCTAGGGTGAAGGCCGTGAGCTCCGCTCCCAGAGTACGGGATTGTTCTGCACCTACAAAAGGGAGAACATAGGGTTACAAAAAAATCAAAATTAATCAAGTTAAAACAGAAAAGAAATATAAACAATTCAGCAACAGTTAGAATTTTGTGCGAATTCTATAGAGACTCAGATAAAGTGAGAAACAAATAATGGAATAATACAACAGATAATATACCCTAAGATCTTATATTGTTATATTAATATATATAGGATAATATGTATATGCATAACACTTACTGTTGCCTTGTCTCCAAGTAACCTTGTACCCCGTTGCTCCGGTAACACCTGTCCAGGTAATTCGAATTCTCCGACTATTTGCATTTATTACTCTCAGATTAGTCACCCTTCCCACATCTTGCTCTGCAATCATTAATATAATGATTAATAAAATATAGCATCACAGTGCTTTTAAGGAAAAAACAGTGGATAAAGCCTGAACTTCACAGAGGTCCATTCAGGGTTGAAGGTTTTCAAAGATAAAAAACAAACAAACACATCTGCCATTGAGTCATCCAAAGGCAAGTGAATGTGATGATCTTTTTGTTTGTTTTTTGTTGTTGCTGAAATTGGCAGGTAAAAGAAAGACACAGGAGAATCAGAATGTCAGTAGCTTCCTAAACTCACCTGGTTTGATAGTGACAGTCACCGGGTCTCCTTCGTTTTCTCCCACCAGTGCCGTGACACTGACACCATACGAAACCCCCGCTATCAGGTCTCTGAGGTCAAGGGTCGTCTTGTTTCCAGGAATGAGTCCTATTTCTTCTGTTTGCGCTGACATGACATGAATCATACAGAAATTTTACCACCAATCATGTTTTTATTCATTTGGCAAAAGAAGATATTGATTTGTTTTTCTTTTTAAATGACTAAGTTCAGCGTACAGTCAGTGTTCAAGATGATAACTCTGTACTGTGTGGCCCCGGCTACACCGGTCCAGCCAAGTCTGACAGTGCTGCCCAGATACTCCACCACTCGCAGGTTGGAAACCCTTCCCACTGGCTGTTCCTCTGCAAAATCAAGGGTCAAAGTGATTCCGGCACAATCAGCATGTTTATGACCCATACAGTAAATCCAAAATCAGTTTAGGGTTCAAGGCGGACCTCTGGATGTGGTGGAGACAGGTGTGGCTTCCTCACGACCTTCAAACAGTGTGTACAAGGTGAAGATATATTTTGTGTTTGGTTTCAGGCCTGTGAGCACAGAGTTGGTGGTGCTTCTTGGAAAGGACAGGGTCCGGACAGGGCCTCCTGAAGCACAAAAGAACAGTGAACAGGGATCAACTTTTTCTCACTCTATATTTAATATCAGTGCAGTATATGCTTTTTATTTCTTTCAATTTAAAGTTGGGATATAATACAATACAAAACTAAAGCTGGCAAAGTTGGGAAAAAATCATAAGAATTATTTTTTTTTAAATTTTGCTTTCATGGTATATGTATGTCTAACCTTCCTCCTCCCTCCACTCCAGCCGATACCCTCGAGACGACTGAATGAGTCTCCAGGTGAGGCGGATAGAGGAGGGACTGGTGATAGCTGCTCTGAGGACCTGCTGCTCTTGAAGCTCTGAGGGGAAAAAATAATACATTATGCAATATGTTTTGAAATGTTTGTATGTACATGGGATGGCTTATTATGTTCTGTAATTGCATCTTCTGTTTAGAATGGCTGCAGACTTAACATTCTAAACCAATTTCAATGTAAATGGTGGGCGACAAACCCACTTTCAAGGTACATTTGCCATACTACAAATTCTGTTCTTGCAGAATTACTACATGCATGGACTCCTGGAGCTTTTTTACTCCACAGTCACTAATTCGCACACACATGCGTGCAAACACACACACACACACACACACTAAATAAGAGCAACTTATTGTTTTCGTATCTTGTGCCAGGAGGACAGAAAGACGCTTCTGCACTTAAATAGATGCCCATGATTACTGGACACCCAGTCTACCACGAGAGCTACAGCCACACACAAAGATCTATTCCCAGACACACTTCATATGGTGTCGTGATAGATTATTATAAGACTGAAAGTAATTCCATCGAACATGAAACTTGCCTTCTTTAAACTTGATACAAGTACAATTTTTATAGGAGTAAATAGGGTAAGTACCAGGCATTTGTTGTGAATCAAATGTACTTGATTAACTGGTCATAAGCAATTGTGAGCACCTTCATAAAAAAAGACGTTCAGGTCTGTTTTAACAGATTCTCACAATCTTCCCAGGACATCCTAACAAATTCAACCCCAGGTCAGACTGTGCAATGCTCAGAGAAACTGCAAAAAAAAACCCTCAGTCTCTACAGGCCCCAGCTAGCATGTTAAATTAAAGTTTATGACAGTATAATCAGAAAAAGACAGAACAAGTATTTATTTACAAGCATTGCCAGGAGAAAGCCTCTTCTCTCTAAAAAGTTGCATCTGAACAAGCCACAAGAACTCTGGAGCAGTACAGTGCACCACATTTGGTGACAACCAAACACGGCACATTAGCACAAACATCTCATACGAACGGTCAAACACAGAGGTGGGGGGGGTGATTTTAGTCTGTTTTGACCATAAGACCTGGGCACCTTGCAGTCACTGACTCAACCATAATGCCTCTGTAAATCAAAGTATTCTAAAAATAAAAGTCAAATTTGAGGCCATGTGTCCAACAGCTAAATTTGGCCATGCAACAGGACAAACACATCAGCAAAGCAACAACCAAATGTCTGACAAAAGATAATAATCAAGGTGTTGCACATTATTCTTTTTGATATAACTGGATATCTGAGTGGCTACAGAGCAAAAGTGAACATGAACATGGATGCTACTCTTAAACCATTGAAAAGCCATCATTTGTACAGCAGCCAGCTGCAGTATCTTAGCCTGCATATGCAAATTGTACACGTTCGTGTCAAAACAGATCTTCGTGGTTGAGGAATCTTTTGTGAAATTGCATTAAAGCTACAGTGTCAAGAAAGCAGTGTAATGATTGACAGCTAAGTAAATCAGTAACAGATTTAATACCACACCTCCGCCCTGAGGCTGTCAACGTAGTGGACAAGAAATCATCACACAGGTCGGCAGCCACAAGGCAAACAAACACGTTCTCTCCAATGCTGTGAATGAGCACAGGTCTTTTCTTGTAACTGAGCTGCAACTACATCGATGTGTGTCCGATAAAGGTCCAGAGGTCAAAGAAAAGTTTGATAATGAAAAGGTAACTTGAAGCTTACACACACAACAAAGTGCTTTAACAGAACATGTTATATACATATTAGTTCTCTGATTGCAGGACTGAGCCACAAAAAAGTTTCCAGTTCTCCATTCCCATCACTCCACTGCTCAGTGTTGTGTCCCCACAGTGACTCAAGTAACACTGGTCCAAATGAAGAGACAGCATATGGGAACTGCTCACGAGAGGCAGATGGTGTGTGTGTGTGTGTGTGTGTGTGTGTGTGTGTGTGTGTGTGTGTGTGTGTGTGTGTAACGAGGGCGTAGGTGTGCTACAAAATGTTCCCCAAACAAAACAGCCCTAAACAGTAACACATGTAGACATTTTAAAATAGAGATAAACCGCAAGGAGAATTTCTATCGCTGCTTTATTTTTCTCCCCATCTTCTTCCTGCTGCTGCACTTGGCAGGACAGGATAGAAGGCAGGAGCAAATTCAAACAGCATTCTTTATGACAATTAGTTGCTAGAGAAACAGGAAAACTGGAAAGTAGATTGTTGCCCCAACTAACTGTGAGTCACTGATGGGATGAGAACAGAGGAGAAGTTTGGTGGTGTGGCAGACCACTGAAAGCACGCCTACCTATCTTGAATCTGGCCGTTGTTGGAGAGGCCTCTGTGTTTCCCTCGTACAGTGGGATAATAGTAACAATGTACTCAGTATCTGGCTGGACCCCGGACAACGTGTAGAAGTCGATGTCACCACCGACCTCCACGGTCTCTACATCACGACCTAAGTGAACAAAAAAACAAAGACAAAGATGTAAAGACATGCGACGCAGTAAATACATGCTGTTAAAAAAAATGATGTCTGATGTGTCCTTCGACCTGTAAACGGTCCCCAGACCAGACGGTACGCCCTCGCACCGCTGACACCTCGCCATCGCACACGAACACTGCCCTCTGACTCAGTCTCCACTGATAACTGCTGCACAACCTCAAGGCTCACTAACACAAAAACATAAAAAAGAGAGACGTGAAGATAATGTTAATATACTGAAGGTCAACACAAGGAGACAATATCACTTAGATCAGGCACTATAATTGATCATTTCTGTGTATTTGTGGCAAACTGTACCACTTATTGTATTTTACCTGCTGACTATGGTCGCTCACATTACAGGAACATTATATAGCAGCGGCAAAAGGATTAACAGCAGGCGAGAGGACGAACTCACGTGTGCGGGCGTTGAGGACAGACGGGGATGCAGAGTTTCGTGGGAACAAGGGGTAGAGGCTGATGACGTACTCTGTGTCGGGCTGAAGTGACTCCAAGGTGACAGATGTGGAGCCTGCAGACAATGTCTGCTCCAACAGCTGAGCTGCCGGCTGACCTACACAGAGAAGAGCAATTAACTAATAAATGCCCTAATCGCAAATTATACTGTGCGCTATGTTCGAACATTCAGACAAATTGTTTTTGCCTTTAGGGCCTCGCCTGTGCTTGATTAGTCTCGAGCATACTGAGAAAGGCCGTGTGCCTGTGCAGAATGTAGGTGTCTATCTTTGCCTGGTTTCACTGTATTATCAATGTCAAACGGTGCACTGTGAACAGGTAGGAACATCACTCCATGCTGCGCATGCTCACTACAATGCACCCATTGACGTGGCAGTGTAAGATTGACAGGGAAGCTTAGCGTGGCATTCTTCAGAAGAACTGATACTGGCACAGCATGTGGTGAGAGAAAAAGCTTATATGAGCCCTTGGGGCCCACTTTTCTCTCCTGAATCACAGCCTAAGCACCCACCCAGACCTCCTGACACACCCGGGTGCTATAAATGTGAAGGCAAAATTACTCACAGTCCATGACATAAGCAAACGTTTTCTCAGTCTGCCTAGCTTCATGATCAGCGATGATAAAATGTATTTGATATTTTAGGTAATTATAAGGCTATAAACATCCCAGCTGACAGCCAGTGCCTGAGGGAAATTAGATGTTACAGAAGCTAATGTTGATCACACTGAACCCATACTGCTACACACCCTTTGCATGGCCCCTGGATGCCATAAAAAGTAACAGTTATTGACTAGTGTTGACTTCTTTTCCTTTTTTTTCATAATTCTGCCAAGGTTAGCATCGTGGCAGGGCTATTCTGATATTATAGGATAAGAACGGATTACCAAAACAGGCAGGAAACAGAACAAATACGTGTGTGCCTGACCTTGTGGTCCGTAGGTGATTCTGTAGCCCTGGACAGGAGTTGAAGGTTGATTCCAGCCCAGAGTGAGAGAAAAGAAACCTGCTTCCACCAAGCGCAGACTGGAGACACCTGGCAATGACCCTATGTGAAGAGAAAATGGGCTATTTCATATTGCAAATGGACCGATACTTATCTAGCGCTTGTCTACTTAATCTGAGAACTCAAAGAATTTTCTTATTACAAACCTAATTCATGTATTGACACTCACATTCATAAAAGTGCTTTTTCCAATTCCTAGCCACTCTTAAACCAACATTCAAATGCTCGCACTTTGATTAATGAATGAATCAGAGACAACTGGGGTTCAGTAACTTGCCCAAGGATACTTTGACATTCAGAAGTGTTTTGTCAGTCTCTTGTGTCTCTGTTGAGTCGTTCACTTTGTACTCACTGGTCCGTTGCTTGGCAGAAACAGAGTCTCCCACACTGTTGGGGTACTGGGCGATGACAGTCACCAGGTAGTCTGTTCCTGACCTTAAACCTCGTGCAGTGTAGGTCCTCTGATTGGCAGTGACGCTATCCTGCAGGTTGGGACAGGGGTGATCTTTGTAAACTGACACTCCTAAAACACATGTATGACTGAAAAAGAAATCATCACCATCATGCCAAGGTACACAGAAGTGAATGCAATGCTTTGCTCTGCCACACTTTAATTTTTCCTTTTCCTTGAAGAAGATCCACCCATTAGACATGTTTATACTCAGCCTGAACACACATGCTTCTCGAGCAAAGCAGGATTGAGTCTGGCTCATAGAACTGCAATTAACCGTTTCAGTGTAGGTCACATAAATGCACTTTTGCTCATTCTCTAAAATCGTTCAACACCTGAGGTCACGTTACCTCGACATCAGTGGAAGAAGTCATGGGGTGAAAGAAACGTGCAAAGGAGACTTAGAAGACTCGTTTGGCAGGTGACAGCCATATTAAAACAACAAAGTTCAAAGATGAACCACAAAATGCACATTTTAAAGAAAAATAAATACACTATATACTATTAAATGACATAAATCTTCTTTTATTATTTTTTTCCTGCTGAAGAAAAGATCCTGTATAACTCATTTCTTCCTTTTTTTAATAAATCTTTTTGGGACCAGCATAAAATTTAATCCATCAATCACATCCAATTCAGTGTCAGCTAACCTGATTAAAAAAAAACTAATGATACAATAGAGCTGTAGATGTACAGTAACTAATGCAAATCAATTTATAGTGAATCTTAAACATACTATGATATAGGTAATACACTTAATAATTGTTTAAGCTGTGCTTTACAAAATTCTAAACACATCAGAAGTTTACGGCAATAAATGAAAAATGAACTTAAAATGTAACGTTTATGCAATCTGCTCCACTTGTCAATTATGTTGATAATTTCTTGTGAATCATCAGGTGGTGTGCAAAGGTGTATCCTATACTAAAGGAAATAATAAAGGAAGCACTTCAACCTGAACTCACCTGACGCATTTCTGCTATGACCGGTTGACCCAGACCAGTGAGTGGCACATGCTGGATCACATAGGCACTCACAGGGCCCCCTGCAGGACTCCATCGGAACCTGAGAGAGTCAGACGTCTGGCCTGTGAACTGCAGGTTGGATGGACCAACAAACGCCTCTAAGAAGAGAGGAGACACGGTTAAAATCACATGTAGTTTTACAATAATTGCGACAGTTTAATTTCTTTGAATTCTAATGTTAAATATACCATCGCTAGCATAATCGCCTCCTGCTTTCGAGCAAACTTGAGAGTTCACAAGAGGAAGCAGCGTGTTCAGCAGTTTGAAGTCCCCAACAAAGAAGGTAAAATCACTGGTGGGTTGGGACGAGATCTGAGCCAGTTCATTCCTGTCTGCGCTCTTTATGCCTGTTAAAAACAAAATAGTAGTCAAAGAAAACAAAGCACTTCACCTGAAGCTCTGGTATAATTCCAGATTATTCAGAATAACTGAGGAAATACTGCAGATAAAACACACACCAACTGCAAAAACATGAACTCCCTGACTGCGCAGCTTCTGTGCTGGCTCGTTCACATTGTCCTGTGACTTCCCATCTGTGATTAGGATCATGATCTGAAAGTTAAAGAGGGTCCATAGATAAAATTAGCTAGAACTGCTACATTGAATAGATAATAATTTATCAATAATAATGGTATAGCTACTCCTTAGACCTTTGGAACATCCCGAACAGAGGCAGGGTTGAAGAAGTTATCAGAAGCAAACTTAAGGCCGGCACCAGTGCGTGTGTTTCCACCTTTATAGTTTATATTCTGGACAGCGTTGACAAGCTCAGTGCCATTCAGGTAGGCAGTCAACGTGAACTCGACTCTGATGATGGAAAAATGTGCATTAATATACAATTCTGCACCTGCCATGTGTTTTTTAGGTTGTTGTTTTTTTTAATTACTCTCAGTCACCTCGAGGTGTCACTGTACTGTACAACACCGAACCGAATCCCTGACTCGCCCACGGAGCTGGCAAATGGCTTTACAATTCCAGCCATAAAGCCCTTAACCTGCAGGAAGTTAGGTCGGCCAATACTGGAAGAGCCATCAACCAGGAAAACTATATCTGCAGCTTGTACATTATCACACCTGTCTGATGGACATAAAGGACAAGAATTAGAAACAGCAACATAAAACATTATGTCTGTCAGGGAAGATGTGCCAGTAAGGTAAAGCGAAGTTAATTCAAACAAAAGGCTTTTTACCCTGAGCTTCAGCGTGTTTCACAGAGCACAGCAGGACAGTTACAGTGAAAACCCAACTCCACATCTTCACAACCTGGGACACACAAAGGACAGGTAATATTATCATTAATATCATCTCTATAGATATTTTAATATCATCTTCATTTCTGTTAACCACTATCTATTAATAGTAAACATCAACACTGAAAATCCGGTTTCTGCTGACTGCTACTTTCTTCTTGTTCAGCTGGATTTCATTAGTCATTTGTTCCATAGCATAATTTGTAGGTAGTTCAATCCAGTAATTTGTCTGCATTTTCTTAGAATTCTAGTCATTGTTCCTGCCTATACCTGTTCTGACCTACCTGACAGCCTTTATTTCTTGTTAGCCTCATTACTTTGAACATTTCCTGTAACACAAACACGTGAGGTCTCTTTTCTTATACCAGTCTGTCCTGCAGTCCAGGTTTTGCACTGCACCAAGAAGCTCTCACACCTGGTGAGAAAGTGTCCAAATACCTACCACCCCATATTACCTCATGGACTATTAATGTTATTCATCATCACTGAAGAGACCACTACACGAACACATTACGTGAACAAGAAGCCCTGAAAGAAAGCATTGTGCATGCACTTAGATATTAGTAACCTTGTATATATGACTGAGTGTTGTTTTAAAAGTCCTTGATATTATAGTGAATAATGACCTCAGAGAAAAACCCACAAAAACCTGTAAATCTGAAAAAAAAGTAAATACTATATATAGCTCAGTTAACTAATACCAACCCTTAAACAACAAGATTTACATGGTATATATATATATATATTTTTACTTGTCATATTCTTACATGTCTCTCACTAGGTATGGACTCCAAAAAGCAACAGACTGATCTCTATGAGTCCACCTCTTGCATTCAGCAGTGCAGCGGTTTCCAGTAAAACAGCTAACAACCACAAAGGGAGAGAACAGCTAAAGATCAACAACACAGAGTGGCGTATTTCACATCGCCAGCTTTTCTTAATATGTTGGCAAGTGAGTTGACATGACTAAACAGCTTCGGTGGATTGTTTCACTATTACCTGTCTCATGCACGCTCCACTCCGCATGCAGTGTGTGTGTATGGTGAGTAGGTGCACTCACAGTGAGAGCAGGCAAAGGAGAAGCAAGCGTTACTTCAAATGACAGCAGCAGACAGTGAGCTGAGCCACCCTGGACAATTTGTAATTTTACTCATACAATAGCAATTCAGTAAATTTATATTCTTATATGTTTTAGTTTGGTGCACTTTATTTATTAAAGTAGGAAAAGCAATGTTTAAGTCAAGCCTGATGTTGCTTTAACATAAAAGAGCATTAAGGTAGCTGCTTAAAAGGTTCAATCTAAGATACAACATGTCAGGTGGAAATTATTAATATTTAATATATTTTATTATGTGACAATATTGCACAGGCTCCTTTAGTTATTGTTAAAGTGTTGTTGTTGTTGTTGTTTCTTTTAAATATTGTGATATCATTTTGAGGTTATATCACCGACCCCTGCCAGAGGCTATCCATCTTTTACATACACTCTACGGACCTCTGTGCATGTTGATCCTAAAAGAATAAAATGCAACCACTCATCCATTTACTTCCACTTATCCTTGCTGATGATGGAGCCTCTCCCAGCTGTCATGGGGTAGGAGGCAGGGTATACCCTGGACAGATCACCGACCCACGGCACATTCAAACCCACAGTCAATTTAGAATCATGCATGGCTTTGAACTGTAAGATGAAGCGTGGGTAACCAGAGGATACCCATCCAGACACAGCAAAAACATGCACACAAACACATGCCACAAACTAACTGGAGCGTTTGAACCCAGAACTTTCAAGCTCACAGCAAGAAAGTCTGCATTCATTCTGTGTCAAACAAAACTTCCTGTTCATGTTTCTAATTTACACAAGAGTTTGATTTTTATTTTTTTTTAACAGCTGTCCTTCTCATTCTCTTCCCTCCACACACCCTTCACATAACATTCATATTCAGAGCATGCATGCTTCTGTACATGTGATCATGCATCACACACCTTTCATCTTTGCTCAAAGGATAGTGGTCAGAAAAGACAATTTTTTACAGCGAGCATCAGATCCACTCTTAAACTTCACTAGTGTAACTCACGTTGGAGTTTGGCCATAAAAAAGCTTTAACGTATTTTTTCTCCATATTTCTCTTTGGCCACTGTATGTCTGGAATGCAGATGTCAGATCCTTACAGACAATATGCACCATTCTGGAAAAAATCCAACAGATCCTTGATTCACTTGCAGACCGTCTTGCAGCATTACTATTCTCTACAGTGTATCTCACTGTTACCATGTTTTAGTCATAAGAAATTTCCAATTTGATTTTGGTGACAGCTTTTTTTAGGTGAAGAAATTCATTCTGGATGTGGAGTATTCATTTTCATGAAAACCTTTGACGCAGTCAGGCACAGCATTAAAGTTACTGAAAATAGCTGACAGATGTTGAGCCAAAGACAGAAACATCAGATCTACTCTGTAGGGATATGGTAGCTAAAGTAAACACGCAATATAATGAAGGAAACATGAAAAAAAAAACATTTAAGTGGATCAAACCAATTACTGTACATATGTTGGTGGCAGGACAGCATCAGACTGGAGTGATTTTCTGAGCCTGAATGTAAAGAACAGAAACATCATCTGACATTTGGAGACTTTTATATCTTGGCATTTTGTTGCAACACTGACCAAAACCAGACTGACTATCAACCAGCTCTGATCAGAGCTAACCCACATGAAAGACACATGCTGCCAGACTTGATAAGACTCACAATAAACAGAAAACTTTTGCAGTACTTTGAGTATCAAAGTTACATCTTATTTTAACCCTTACCATAAATAGAATGTGTTACCTTTTAAATTCATTAGGATACAACTATTTTCTAATAATTGGAATTTAAATTAGTCTTAGCCTTGATCTGTCAGAAGCAAGCAGTAACCTCCTAAACCGAAAAATACTAAAGGCTACAACTTCTTGACTAGTTCCAAAAGACACATAATCAACAGAGAGTGCTATTTTAAAAAAACCCAAAAAACAGCATTGAAACCCATGTTTAAAAGGTTGGAACAATAGAGGTCTACGCATAATTATCCCCTTAGAAAGTAACTTAAATTTATCGGTGTGGCTGCTTTGATTGATTGGTGTTTCATCCAAATATAGTCACTGGCTGTGAACACAATTAACATTAGAGGCAGCCAAAGCTTCATTAAAGTTGAAGCTTCAATTTTTGCTTTGCTTTTCAGTTTTTATCATGTTGTTTGTTTAGGTAAGTTTATTTATTTATTTTTTTGGTATGCAGGTTTTTCAAGATCTGGAATATTAATATGTCTATGTCTGCCTTACTTAGAAAGTACTTGGGGTAAACTGCTGTTTTAAATGCACTGCATAATTAAAAGTGACTTGACCTGATGTGACTTCAACCTGGAGAGTCCACAACCAATGGGTGACACCACGGTGTCCACCTTTAATTTACACTCTGTGGTCTGATGGTCACAAACTGCCATTTTGATTTATGATAGAATGTAAACCAGTCATATGATTGGTTAAATAACATACATGTATTCTTACTAAATGCAGTTTAAGATCTTGTAGCCGCACTTGAGGTAAGATGTTATATTGAGCTAGCTGGTAAAATTCCACATTGAAAGAAAGCTTTTATTATCATCGGATTGCCACACCCAGTTTCACAGCAGAGGCTTGCTCAGACTTCAAATAATCTAGCTACAGTTTATGTAAAGTCCAACAAAGAGTGCATCCACTTTAAGGTCATTCTTTAACATCTATAACCTCGTTTTGATTCAAATGTGCACTTTTCTAGGGACTTCTGGAGGAAAGTTTGCATTTCACGGTTCCTGGTGTGCACACATGTTTAGCTGTAGCAACTCTGAAACCACAAATCCCTTCTTAATACCTACTAACACCACCTCTAAAGCTCACTGGTAGATTCTGCTTTAATTATCTACTGTAAATACATCAGGACTCGTGCATTTCTACAATAACACTTGACTACTTTCACACATTCTGCACAGATCTGCTAAATACTGTTCAGTGAAATTATTTTAAAAATGAAAAGAGACAAAAAATATTCAAGAGTCTAAAGTTAGATAATAACCATTAAGACACACCACACTGAGTTTTTCTAATGTTCAAACACTGCTTGAGGCCAGAAGCTCATAATCACTGATAAATGTTTGTTCCTTAAGCAAGAGTTTATTTTTGTCCGAAACACATCACACATCACACACAGGAAGCTTAATATGTTCCAAATGTAACCCCTCTTTCCCTTTTCAAAAATCAAAGCATCTATTTTGAGGCTCTTACACCTACAAATTTAAATTATGCACCATTAACTCCTATCTTTTATGTTATTTTTTTCACTGTAGGAAATCTATAGAAGTTCTGTTTATTGCTGGTTTTGTAAGCCAAGTTTTGAGACTATAGTCTATATTCCCAGCCTTTTCTGAAGTACAGTGGCTAACTTACCACTTTGTAATGCGATTTAAGATGTCACCAAACACGCCATCTTATGACTAAAAGTTGCACTAAATGTTAAATGGACTACAAACAATGGATTTTTCTTCTTTTTGCTATTCCCACGATACACTCACAAACCCTTTTCTGTTTTCAGGCACAAATCTGTTCACATAAAGTCCTGGTAGAAATACTTCCAAGTAATTACTGCCAATTTACAAGCCAATTGTGGGGTGACCTATTTCTGAATGTTTTTTTGATAGATGTTCATCAAGTCTATATTAACAACGTGTCTAGTCTGGCTTCCACACCTGGAATGTTTAAATTATGAACTGGCTTATGGGCATGACCACACCCATGACTAGCCACTTGGCAAATAAACCAATCAAGAGGGTTAAAGGGTCAAAAGCTCAGAAGCTGACTGCTTCTTCTTCTTCCTAAACACAAGTCCCCCAGGCCGTCAGACTCCTGAACACTCAGTGACAGGACTGACACACACACACACACACACACACACACACCCCTTTATACAACAAGTTACTTTTTCCACAATGCTCAGTCTTTTGCACATTTCTATTGCACTGTCTTGTGTCTGTATTGTTCTATCTGGTGTTACACTGTCTTTGTTTTGTTTTGTTTTTTTGCACTTTATATAGTCCTGTGTTGATTGTCTGTTATATGTTATATGTGGCACCATGGTCTTGGAGGAACATTGTCTCGTTTCACTGTGTACT